CCCAGCTAATCCCACACCTCCGTCGTCGCAGGAACCATCGAAATCTATCCTCAAAAAGCGTACATACGAGGAATATCTTGCTGATGATCTATTTCCTCCCGATAGACTGCGGCGAGCGAGCACTCCAGAGCCAGAAAACCCTCCGGAACAACCAACGTACCTATTGTCGCCCATCAAGACCCTCGTACAATCCGTCGCTCCCGGCACGTTCGAAGACGCCTCAGAGACAGACTTATTAGGTCTCATCGAAGCTTATTGTGTTCTCACTGCTCGTATTCGGGCCAAACTGCTTCCAGCCTCTATTCCTGGAGGCAGCAAACCAGTATCGACCGATACCGTCATCCAACCGGCCCTAGAGCCGCTGAGAGATCATGCCTCTGCAATCGCTTCCTCGATATCAAGAGACATTCTTCGCGCTCTCGAAGATCCCCTTCAGGGTTGTGGCAAACCGGCCCCTCAAGCACCGTTGTCCCCCCCTCCCTCGTCTCCTTCCCCTTTCAACTCTTCCTCCTCCCCTGCTGCTTCAGAAAGTCAGTCTACAACCCCTGGGAAAAAAGGTGGTATGGATGAGCAGCAGGTCAAACACGCTCGGGACCTGTGTACAGTGTCTCAGTCTGCAATGAAGTTGCTATCATGCCTTCTTTCCTTCACCGGCCTCGTACGCGAAGGCCTACTTTTCACTGGTAAGTGTTTGTCTTTGAATAATATCACTTGGCTAAACTATGTACAGAATCTGAACTATCCACTTTGCTCGGCGCGGTTATATCCCTACCATTATCATCACCTTTACCTACACCCAACTCACGCAAAACATGTGCTTTGGCCGTGAACATCATCAGCTCTTCGAGCTTCCCACCAGCCGCCCTTGCTGCAAATGCAGAGCGCATTGCTACCGTCTTCAAACGTGGCATCGACGGAGAATTAGGCCGGGAAGGAAAGAAAGGATCAGCTGCCGATGCTCTTCGTGGTGTGCTCCTGTTGAGCATGGAAAATCCAATGCTCTTTGCTACCCCGTTTGGTGTGCTTTTGCCATCAGTCATCAAGGTTCTCCAAGGTCCAGTTTCCGCTCTGCAAACACAGGCTGGTTTTGCTATTTCCGGACTAGCGTGGTCATCGACCGAGACACACACAAGTGCAGCTGACACCGCCTGCCTTCGGGATTGCCTTTCGCTACGAACCCTGAAGAAGAAGGAAAACAATGGAGAGTTGCAGCTACCACAGGTCCTTCTTGTGATCACCAAATTCTTCCAAAACCTCATCCGAACCAATGCTGCAAAGGATAATGGAGAAGCGACGGGCCAGGCACCGTCTGCAGCAGTGCAAACTGCTGCCCACACAAGTGCTATGTGGGGGCTCAGCGTTCTCTCCTCTCTCATCGTTTTGGCTGGAGGGGTTGTCCATAATGACACCGTCATCACTGGTACCGTCACTAAAATCATCCGGCTCCTCTTAGTGAGCAAGCGTGTCGCAGTCCGTACTGCAGCGTCATGGGCGTGGCGAGCCTACGTTTGGTCTATCCTCCGACATTTTGAGGATCTCGATGTGGAGGCTTCGCAAGAACGTATAGAGGTCGTCCGCCGCATTTTTGACTTCCTCGATAAAGGAGTAGGAGTCGGTGTCGTTTGTTCCCTTCTCGTCGGCAGTGCAGGTCGCGAGGACCGTGATCTACGCATCGAGCTCGGCTTAGCGACCTTGGTAGAGATGGGAAAGAGACGTGCCAATGCGACGGAAGCGCTTCAAATACTCGATAGACTGCTGCAGACGGAGAGCTACGTGGAACCTGAAGGACCAATGCCGGGATGGGAGTTGAACAAGCTACTCCCTTTGCCTCTTTTCGATGGACAGCTTGCAGAGAGCGATACAAAGGCGCTACTCGTGCTCATCAAAGATCAAGCGACATTGGAAGTGGATTGGATTCCCGAAATCACGCCACTTCGAGTAGAAGAGTGCAACGAGAGGCTAGATGCGTTGTACGATGTTTGGCATGCGGCCATCAAAGGCCATGGTATCGACGAAAAGGGGCATGCAATGGTATGACGTTCTCCGCCTATTGTTCTTCGTTATCTCACCCTTTTGAAAGGAAAATATCATCGACACGTGGAACCTGCTGCTCAAACAGTTCTCCGCACCACCATCCAAGCGAATTATGGAGTTTTTGACCCAAAAGGCTCATGTGTGGACCAATCTTGCTGATTCAGGAAACAACGCGACCCAGATGATGTACCATCAAGTTGTTCAAGCTCGATTCATCAAACAAATTTGGACCGGTCTTGTGGATCGGTTCGGTGATTCTACTGAAATGCGACAGTTGGCGATCAACATCTACGACCAAGCATTACAGGTGTTTGATATCGATGAACCAAAGATCGAGGATGTCTGTCTCGATTTGTTTGCCCGTCTCGCCGCTGTTGAAAGCTCCATTGTGGTTTTGATGATGGGACATGAAGAATGGTCGACAACACTGAAGCATAACATTTGGCTTCATGCAATCGATGGAGCCGAAAAGGAAGATTTCGTTAGGTCCCTCTGTCTCGCTCCGTTTGGGTATGTCTCTCTCTCAAGAACTACTGATATCAAATGTATTCACCCGGGATCCAGTGAACCTCAACCATTCCAGCTAGACGAGGTGGATTGGACGCGATGGGAAAACGCTTGGAGCGTTTATATGCAATCGCGTGGCGAGGAGGCTGGAGACATTCTTCAGCTGCAACATGCCTTTGTGGAGGAGCTTACGGGCAATCTATCGTGAGTTCAGGCCTGACTTCCACTTTTCCCAAACTGAGTTGTCATTCCAGTGTGCTCAATGCATCCCGCGTAACGTCTGCAATACTACGTACTCTCCCATTAGTCATACCCAAAGATACCGACTGCCAGGACGTGCATGCTCTCATCAACGAGTCGCTTACCAGCGCCTACGACTCTGGCGTAACTGATGCTTTACATACGTCTATCACAAACCTGCATCTCCTCACTCAAGCGATGCCCCGGTTGCCGCCAGTCGCGCTTTCCGCATTCACTCCAAGTCTTATCCATTGGATCATGGACGAAGAGCAGATTCTCAACGACGCCGAATATGATCTTATTATAGGCTCTACGTATGCAGCAGCTCTTGAGATGACAGGTCGACTGCCAGCCTGCAAAGCGACCCTAGTCGACCACTGTGATCTCATCGCGTCCATCACCAATCGTATCACGGCCGAAGCTGCAACCCTCAGCGCCTTTGAAAAGTTTTGGAATGCGCATTACGCCGGAATAATCGACTGGGACGAGATACCTCCTGAAATTTGTACCATTCTTATGGGCGCAGATCAACAATCGTCTCAGGAGCCTAGTCAAGTCGATCTTGTACCTCCTCCTGTGAAGGGTGACGCTGAAAGCAAAGAGCAGTCGCCAGCTGAGCAAGATGAAGATAACACAACCACAGCGCCAGCTTCTCCGGTGGTCCGTCCAAACGAGCTCCTCGTTGTCGACCCATTAGCAAAGGCAGCGCCGTCAAGCGAAGCGCCTGATGTGGGAGACGACGATTGTATACCCAATTTCAGAGCGGCCTCTGGCTTGCGATGGGTGGGTTCATCTGAGGATCTGACCGAAGAAGCGGCGGAAACAGAGCCCCAGTTCAAAGTGTCACAGTCAGAGGACCAGTTCTTCGACTGGCCCGCATCACCTGGTGATACCATCCCCGGTCTTGATCACAGTCCTTCTGGCACAACATTCAAGTTATCGAGCAAACCGGTCTTTAACTTCCCCTCACCTACTAGGTCGTTGGCCAAGAAGCGACGATCAGGGGATGATGATGAGGAAGGTCCGTGAAATCCTTTTGTTTCCTTCTGATTATGCGCCTTACACTTCTCATAGATTCGACACCGGTGAAACGTCGAAGGCACACCCTAGATGATGACTCCGATTCCGACGACGACAGGACCCCGCGAAAGCCGTGGTTCTGGAACGACGGTGAAAATGAGGAAGAGCGAATTGTTCCCTTCAAGCCATTTACACAACACAATTTGCCATCTCAAACGTATCAGTTCCAAGGCATTGCTTCTGATCAATCCACTACGAAGCGACAAAAGCAGGCTGAACCTGTCCAATCCACCACTTTGACGGGCAGTAAACAACAATACAAGCCCTCAGGTATGTGATGCTCTGATGACGCCGACGATTTTTTCACCTATTGTTTAGTCTCCTCCCATAACACCTATATCGAGAGTGGCAATGCTGAGAAGGGATGCCCATCGTCAAAGCGCCGAAGAGTAGCTGCTGTTTCAAACTCTCCTGCATTAAATTTTGCACCTCGTTCAGAGGACACCGAACCAGGCAGTGGTGAGTAGAACATCAATAGCGACCAACCGGAACAGCAGCTAAGCCTTAATCAGATGATATTTCCCAAGTCCAAGTACCTGCTTCGGACGAAACAGCATCTGCATCGGGCGATTTCGATCCACATACCATCGTATCTCCTCCTATGGTGCAGGGCGAGGCTGGCAGTGGTGAGAACTTTTCCATATAAAAACAATCAGAACTCATTACTGACTTCTCGTAGACGATAGCAACGAAAGCCCATTAAAAGCGCTTGCGGAGCGCAAGAGACGTCAGGAAGAATCCCGCGCCCGCTCAGAGCCGTCTACGCTTGGTAGGCTGGTGAAGAAATCACAACCGATCACGAGACAGACGCTCTCTCAGCCTGCATTGGATGTCGAAGCTCGAGAGGCCATTCAAAAGGTGGACACACTCCTGACGTCTTTGGATGACGACGGGCTGCGGCAAATCTCGTTCTTGTTGAAGAAGACTCGTGAGAAGATGGAGCACGAACTCTCGCGTCGATCGTCCCAACTGTGATTCGTTGTGGTGTACACTAGTTTACTTTTGCTTTATGTCTCGTTTCCAGTTCCAGTGGTTTCAGCCATGTACATAGTTAGATATCAAAACAAACAATTGTTTTTCATTCGATTATTTGTGACTGAAATCAAACTATCCGGACCTGTGGCGTGACACCAAAAAAGTGACACAGTAGGGACTCGAACCCTAAACCTCACGCTGAACCCCTAAACTAAAACCCCGACAGAGGACTCGATTAGACTAGGAGGCGCACACGCTACCATTGCGCCACAGTGCCAAAAAGTCAAATTTTGGGAGCTGCTTTTATTTTGAAGATAAAGAAATCTAGCAAAGAGATATTTCGTAATCAGAATAAGATTGAAGAGAGACACCTTGTGGGAGCATCTCCAAGGTATTGAGTCGGTGGCTTGGACCCGACCGTCACTGAATGCACTCTGAATCACTCGCGGAGAAGACCACTCTGGATGATCCCGAACTCAGCGACGCTGCTCCAGTTTCGGTTTCGGATGTGAACAACCTTTCTGCCTTCTCCAACGGTGCCTTTCCGAGCGAAGTCGGGTTCATCGGTAAGCAGAAGTCAGGAGAGTGCTCGCTAAACCACTAATACAACATACAAAAGACATTTACGATCTCGATGTGGTGTCCAAACTCCCAGAGGAACCTCCTACGTCCTTCATCGCCGCTTACGCACGCGGCGATTGGGTTCCCAATAGTATCCCACCTATGCCCCTAGGGTTTCAAGGGATTATTGGAGACGGGAGCGATGCTACGACAGCTGGGGTTCTAATCAGCCCAAAGCGTCTTAGTCCGCCAGCTATCCTGGAGTCGGTAGAGGAGGCATATCGTTCATACCTGGAAGAAACACGTTCACAGATCAGCCCCATTACGACTCATTCGTCAGCTTCCCAGACTCCGCTATCTGACGGGATACAAAACATCTTTGAGCAAGAGTTCCGTGAGGCGACCCTCGCCTCGTCTCCCTCTCATGGCGAAAGCCCTGAACCAACAATATCAATATCTACGCGTACACCTCCAAGTTCGTCTGAAGTTAGCTGCATATCTCCCTCGAGTCTCTCTGCGGCTTCACAACGTCGATACGAAATGGTATGTAAGCCATGCTGGATGCTTCATGCGGGCTGAGGACCAATAGATTGGGTATCTAGAACCGCCAATGCCACGTAACGAAGAGTTGCGTCGGAACGCTCTGCGAAGGCATGATTTCCGCACCTCTCCAAAACTGGCATAGACTGAGCGTTTCTAGATACCAGCCCTATCATACCGGTATTGACCCAGACTTGAATCGTATTCTTAGACTTGGAAAACTCATGTTCTCCGTGTAAGGTCCTTCTACTATGATCGCAAGGACTATGGTTGACCCGAGCAGCGACGCTACCGCTATTTCTCTAGTGGACTCTGACTTTGTCCACGTTACGGGGTTTAATTCCGAACCAGTTATTATCCATCGCGGTCAATCCACGTGTAGTCATACTATATTGGTCGATGTGTCAGTAGCTGCAACGCCCATATATATGATCCCCGCTCACTCTAAATCATAGTCCAGGCGAGCCTATGGTCGTTCAAGATACCCGAGAGGACTGGAGGTTTCGCAATAATGTTAGTCAATTTCATTTCTGAATCCAAACGATCTCATGCAAACGAACTTCAAGCATACTATCGTACGTGACTGGGGTGTAACTTTCTACGCTGGCCAGCCACTCCGAACAAGCGATGGATTCAATATCGGGACAGTATGCGTGATAGATAGTCAGCCACGGACAAAATTTACCCAGCACGAGAGGGACCAGTTGAAAGAACTCGCAGATATGGTCATGCATGAATTGGAAGCTCAATCTAGTCAGGTAACGTGACCAGTATTGAAGCCCCTCACCGAATTGATGTCAGTAGAGGGAAGCGGCTTTTCGGGAGAGTTTACACTCATCTGTTGAGGGGTTCAATCGAGCTATTAATACTGGGAACCATACCGGACAACAGATTCTATCCATGATGATTGAATCAATAGAGTCGGCACTGACGATAGAAGGAGTTCTATGTTTGGATGTACGGCCTTGCAAAGGCTCACTTGCCAGTAGGCTTTTCCTGCATTTACATCCCTCCAGATGCTCACCTACTCCAGAAATGGGACAAAATCCGCTTGGGAAAGCGATCAGTATTCCCATCCTGGCGGCTTCAGAACACGCGATGAAGAACATCAAGGAAATAACGATAGAGTCGGAAACGCTGCTCAAGGCCTTGAATGATCAGAATGGAGAACTTAGTCACACACATGGAAGTCCCACACCTGAGATTTTATCCCGCATACTCCCTCCACGTGTCGGAGCTGCAGGTATGTTTCCCTTTGCTCGGTGGGGCCTCGCTTAAGACGGTAATTTATAGCTACTCTTATAACCCGCGGATCCAAAGAGCCTTTTATGGTCATCATAGCTTACTCCAGTAAAAAGTGCCCTCATTTTGTGTCGCCACCCCCAATCATGGCCTATTTCCGTTCTATGGGGACGATTGTCTGTACAGTTCAAGAGAAGCAGACACTTTCTTTGGCAGATAAAGCGAAGATTGACTTCATAGCGAAGTAGGACCTCTTTCTCTTGGCTTTGATCTCAGAAGCTGATGTTTCTTAGTATATCTCACGAGGTATTTTGAGGGTAGAATCAATTTTTTGGAACTGTGCTCATTGATTATAGCTACGAACGCCTTTACACGGCGTCATAGCATCTTGCGATCTGCTGAGCGAAACGAACCTATGCGATGCGCAAGAGTCCCTGCTGGAAACAGCGAAATCCTGTGCCTCGGTATGTTTCAGTTAGTCCTATTACTCCACGGGGGCTGACTAGCACAGAGCCTAGCGGAAACAATCAATCATGTGTTAGACTTCACCAAGGCTAATGCAATGCGGTCGGGGGCAGTACTTGAGCTGTCCGTTTGCACATTCTGGTTCCTCGAGAGAATCCTGACTGGTTCGCAGTGTGGATCTCGCACAGTTGGTGGAGGAGACGATGATTAGTTGTTGGCTTGGAAGGACCGTTCGACCTCACACCGACGGTATTGGTGGGATATACACAGCAGGGTCCCAAACTTTACGAAGAAAATTCATCTCACCGGACTTTGTGGAACCATTGATCGATATCGAACCGATCGAGGTAGGGTAATCTCCTACCTCTAGGGTTCTAGCTAACGTTCCTATAGAATTGGTCAGTAATGACCGACAAATCTGGGCTTCGGCGGGTCCTACTCAACCTGGTGAGTGAGTTGGTTGGATACATCCATTTTTCTGATCTTGGCCAGATTGGAAACAGCATGAAGTTCACGCGGGTCAGTATAGTGTGCTTATTTGTATCCAAACTTATCAATTTTCTCGTCAGGGAGGGTATGTTAAGGTCAGTCTCCACCGGGGACCATCCATAGATCCAGAGAGGATGGCCGTCGAACTTGTGGTGGAGGATACCGGATGTGTATGCCCCCTTCTTAAAAAAACACTGTACCAAATTGATATTCTAATAGGGCATGTCCGAAGCTTTCGTCCGGGACAAGCTCTTCCATCCTTTCTCTCAAGAGGCACCTTTAGCGCAAGGGATTGGTCTTGGCCTGGCCATCGGTAAGTACAAGCAGCCGTACCCTTTCCTCTTCCTCGCTAATCGCCTAAAGTTCGTTCTATATTAAAGTCACCTGGAATCGATGGTACTATTGACGTCCACACAAAAGTCAACATCGGTACACGAATGACTATCCGATTACAACCACCAACCGCAAATGATTTACGTTCGTGGACGCGTTCTCCTTCCCAATCGCTAACTCGATTGCCGTCATTTGCAATGTGTGGGTTCCACGCGGAACACAGAGGCTCAGGAATGTTAGCATCTGGAATCCGGAGAGGACTTCGGCATTGGTATGGAACAATTGTAGAAGTAGATGTGAAGGAGGCCGGTCTTTTAATCGTCGATGGAGATAGTATCGATATCTCAAAGCTGGATGCACTTGGAGCCAATCGTCCTATGATTCTCCTCCTGTGTTCTTCTCCAGTCGATTCCGTAGTATTCAAAGCTACTCAAGACTACAGTGGCAATAATCGACTCTGTACAGTCGTTGTCAAACCAATAGGGCCCCATGCTCTGTCCAAAGCTTTATCTGCACTAGTCGGTGGCCGTAACTCGACACCATCATCTCCGTTACAGCACTCGCTTCCAGTGCTACCGCCTACATCGCAGCCGCTCCCCCCAACTGCTCAAGAACGGCCAATGCGTCCACAATCTAACGCCAATATGAGCCGACTACGAGTGCTGGTGATCGAAGACAATTTAGTTCGTAGCTTCCTCAGTAACTCTATCTCAGTAGGGACTGATTCGTTCTAGGTGAACCGTAAGGTTTTGACAGCATTCCTTAAGAAGCGAAACTGCTACTTTGACGAAGCTGGCGATGGAATAGAAGGAGTTCAGCGTTTTCAAGAAAGCAAAGGTGCTCCTTACCAGTGCGCTCTTTTTCTATCTATACATCCGTCCGGACTGTCGTTGAGACGTTTACCAGTGTTTGCCTCATGGATCTTCAAATGCCCCGAAAAGATGGTTTCGAAGCGGCAAGAGAAATACGCCAGTTGGAGGCTGAACGAGATATCCCGCTGTTCGATGGAACGGCAATTCAAAAGACGAAGATATTCGCTCTTACCGGATTGGCGAGTGCAGAGGACAGAAAGAAAGCGGACGAGATTGGCTTTGATGGATAGTGTGTCCTTTTCTGACCTTGACCCCGAATGAAGACTTACGCTATCTACAGTCTCGTTAAACCAATCACCTTCAAAGCGCTTTGGGAACGTTTGCAACAAGTCGTCGACGATCTTCCCTAAATGGTGATAACCATTCATTTACATTTACATCTATCTGTATCCTCGTATCCATATCACTTATTAACCCAGTACTTTCGCGTCGGATACATGGACATACACCAACCAGCATAATCTGACATCCGAAGTAGATATATAGGTTAAAACATGTGTATTTGAAGAAAATCACTAGCCTGTGGCCATTTTTACCACTATTAGAGTTCAGAGTGAGTTAGAGGGGTTTCATCGTACAGCTTTGAAGTGATCGAGTTCACGATGGTTTCGACTTCTACTTGAGCGATCAGCATGTAGAACTGAGGCGATACAGATGACTTACTCTTCAACTGTTCTTCCACCTCCTCCGCACTTGCCTCCTTGCTGTCCTGATCCAACCAATCAGAGGCAGCCCGGAGGGTTTCGTGAATCGACTGTTTGTCCCTGTCTCCCAT